GCCCCTGGTTCTCCTCAGACTTGACTGCCCTTGACCAGCACAAAAACATCCTGTGGCGTACTGCATTAGCATCGAATAGCCCCCACGATATGCAACTTTTCAGGGAAGTTAGGAGCCAATATACACAAGCAGTTAGGAAAGCAAAGGCTAGCTTTTTCAAACAGAAATTTGCATTCTGTAGCACTAACTCCAAAATGTTTTGGGACACTGTAAAGTCCATGGAGAATAAGAGCACCTCCTTCCAGCTGCCCACTGCACTGAGGCTAGGAAACACTATCACCACCGATAAATCTACAATAATCGAGAATTTCAACAAGCATTTTGCTGCGGCTGGCCATGCTTTCCACCTGGCTACCACTACCCCGGTCACCAGCTCTGCACCCTCCGCTGCAACTTGCCCCCCCCCCCCCCGGTCACCAGCTCTGCACCCTCCGCTGCAACTTGCCCCCCCCCCCCCCCCCCGCAACAAAGCCTCCTTCACTCATGCTGCCAAACATGCCTTCATAAAACTTACTATCCTACCGATCCTTGACTTCGGCGATGTCATTTACAAAGTAGCCTCCAACACTCTACTCAGCAAATTGGATGTAGTCTATCACATTGCCATCGATTTTGTCACCAAAGCCCCATATACTACCCACCATTGTGACCTGTATGCGCTCGTTGGCTGGCCCTCACTACATATTCGTCGCCAAACCCACTGGCTCCAGGTTATCTATAAATCACTGCTAGGCAAATCCCCTGCTTATCTTAGCTCATTGGTCACCATAGCAACACCCACCCGTAGTATGCGCTCCAGCAGGTATATCCCACTGGTCATCCCCAAAGCCAACACCTCCTTTGGCCGCCATTCCTTCCAGTTCTCTACTGCCAATGACTGGAACAAACTGCAAAAATCTCTGAAGCTGGAGACTCTTATCTCCCTCACTAACTTTAAGCATCAGTTGTCAGAGCACCTTACCGATCACTGCACCTGTACACAGCCCATCTGAAATTAGCCCACCCAACTACCTCATCCCCATATTGTTATTTATTTTGCTCATTTGCACCCCAGTATTTCTATTTGCACATCATCTCTTGCACATCTATCATTCCAGTGTTAATACTAATTGTAATTATTTTGCACTATGGCCTATTTATTGCCTTACCTCCATAACTTGCTACATTTGCACACACTGAATATATATTTTCTGTTGTATTTTTGACTTTATGTTTTGTTTTACCCCATATGTAAATCTGTGATGTTGTTTTTATCGCACTGCTTTGCTTTATCTTGGCCAGGTCGCAGTTGTAAATGAGAACTTGTTCTCAACTGGCTTACCTGGTTAAATAAAGGTGAAATAAATAAAATAAAAAATAAAATCTTGTGATCTGGGTGGGTATATGAAAAGTGGAGCATGATAGTCTTCCCTTGATAATGATAATCTAATATTGATTATTGGCATTACTATTTGGGCAGTTCTGTTTCGTCACCTCATTGGAGTCTGTGACATGAAGGTCTACTGCAGATATGTCTGACACAACATTCAACTCCTCCTCCTTAATTTCCTCCTCTTTTTTAACCACCACATCTAATATCTCCTCTTTCTTCACAACAGACTCTGATGGCAGAGAAACTGGCAGAGACGACCCAGGCAGCACCGGTTTGGCATCAGATTCCGCCTGTAAATCAAAAGATCAACATGTACAATGGTGACATGACGTTATATTAATTTTGTGTAAATTAATCATGGGATATTCCGAGACTCAAAGTAATTATTATAGAGAACTTGCCTTTAATGCCTTCTTATTGTCATAGTCTGTCACAGACACACTAAGTTCAGGTTGTTCTTCCTTTGGCCCATCATCACAGGGTCCAGCAGCACCGACCTCGGGCCTCATCTTTTCCCTCCCACACCACACAGACCTAGCCATGACATGGTGGTCAAATGGAAAGATACCAGTCCTCCTGAACCTATCCTTCACAGTCCTCTCAGTTTCAAAAGCATCATACGTCTGCTTCAACACTGTGGCAACCATGTGCCTAGGGACAAAGTCCCTATAAGGAGGGAGGATGTCACAAGCATCCCTGGAAAACTCAGCCTTGAAGAGCCCAAAGGGAAAGTCAGGTGGCAGGTAGATACAGAACAATATGACACCATATCTGCCTGCTTCATTGATAATATAATAATAATAATAATATCAGAGTCCAGCAGATCTGTTTCTCCTTAGACAATCAGCACAAGCAGCAAATCTCAAACAATTATTATACCACCTTTTGAAAACCGTTTTGTCCAAATTCCCACTTTCAGATGAGTAGTGGAACACTTCATCAGGGTAAGCTGGAACACTTCATCAAGGTTAGACTTTAACATTTGGTCTGACCCTTTGAAGATGACGCTGGATGGTATAGCATCTGCAGCAGCGTTGTAGCAGGCCATTAGTGCAAATGTGCCTCCTTCTGCTTGACCTCTGCCCATCTGGAGACAACATACTTCACAGCTATATATTTGTCTGGGTTTTAGCTTTAAATTGTATGAGTCTAGGGTCACATCCAGGAGTTGAAGTAGCAGGTGACTAGAGGAGAGGTAAAGAGCACTTCGTCCCTTGAGCTAACAGTAGTCATACTACTTCCCGCAATATATCAACTTCAGATATTTCCTTTGGGTGCAGTGTGCATTATTTCTGTAATGTAAGGTCTATTAAAACAATAACCAACAACCCCAAGTCATACAATAACCATATACCTCAAATATGACTTGCAGTCACAGGCAGAAATGTAACGCAGTGACCACAAGGCTCTGATGGAAATGGCTTCCCTGGAGGTGGTTTTACTTATAACGTGGTCTGGTATACCGCTAGTAAACAAAATAAGATAGAATAAGATTTATTTTAAATCCAATAGGCTATTCTGTGGAGATTTGACAATGGAAGTCTGCAATTGGGCTGCTGGCTTTCCTGAATTAACGTTAGCTAGCTCGACTAGAAGACAGACTCCTTCTCAAGACTATAGAAAGCTGCATTCATTACTATCGTGTAGGTCTAGCCTTTAATTTTTCTTAATCTTTCGAACTGAATGTATTTATCGGTAGGTTGATATTTCGACATGCATTTTTTTTAGTTTGTGCAATGTACAATTGACATTGCAAAAAGCCATGCCCGTTCCAGAATCGGATGTTGACTATTTTCTCATTACGTGACTGCTGCGTGATGACCACATCAAGTAGCGTCTCAGCAAACCAGATCAAAATTATTATTCTTCGATGAGTTTAACGGCGGTTGGCATCCAATATGTTGCATTACCGCCACCTACTAGACTGGAGTACAACTCCCTTATATTTTGCTTGAAAAATAAAAATAAATAAATAAATAATTGGTCATTTAGCAGACGCTCTTATCCAGAGCGACTTACAGGAGCAATTAGGGTTAAGTGCCTTGCTCAAGGGCACATCGACAGATTTTTCACCTAGTGGGCTCGGGGATTAGAACCAGCGACCTTTCGGTAAAAAATAAAGAAATACCCTACCATCTAACACTACACTCACAAATTCAAAGAAATGTAATAAACAAAAAACAAATTAACACCAACCTACTCCACTATTACATCTATTTATTCCTATCTCATGCCCTCAACCTGAAAGGATGGGACATAACCACTTAACACACCCTGTAACTCTTCTGATGTCAAGTCTCGCACACCCAAATACCTCTCTGCAGCTGCCACCACAACCTCAATTTTCTTCGACTTACGTTCCATCCCTGCAGTACAATTAATAACCATTGCTATAAATGCTAAAAATCCAATCTTACTGAAACATATCACTTGTTGGCCTATCCCTCTGTACTGGTACATATCTACTACTCTCAACACTCCTCCCCCTTGACCCATCTTCCTCTACTTTCTTCACTGCCTCAGCATATGACAACTTATTCACTACTCTTACACGATATCAAAATGATACAAGTTGCTAATTAATAATCGCATTACTACCTAATATCAAAAAGTGGTATGAAGATATGGTATGAGGTTACTTTGCGATGGAATACGGGTAGTTTGAGGAAAACTTCACAGGCCAAACATCCTAGGTTGAAGATGTATACTTTTTTGGGACCTAGCTAGCAAACTTCCAGAAGAAGGAAGGATCACCGACCCACATGACAACCATTGTCCAATGGGAACACACATCCCTAGGATCATCTCTCAGTTTAGAATAGAAGGAGCAGCCGCAGACAACGCAAAGGGAGGTTGATTGAAAAACAAGAGGAGAAATGTATAGAAAAAAAGTAGTTTACATCCATTTGTAGCTCTGTAAAGTAAACGGACAAGTAGCTGGATTACTATAGTCACATCAACGCCACGGTAATTAGCCAATAATTGAAGTTTCTTGCTCAGTTGTTGTTCATGGGACAGCTGAAAGTTAGTGGCTCTTTCGTCGCTCAGCCTGCGACACGGTCTTCTTGCTATGTTAGGAGTTGTCTTAACAGCTACACTGAATCTCAACATCAGCATGGCCAGTCTGAAATTAGTCACTCAAATAGTATTCTTCATTCATTAGGTTTTCTTTTGGTTTATCAAGCTGAACCTTGCTAGCTAGCTTGTTTTCCTTTGCTGACAAAGCTGGCTAGCTAGCGGCTAACTTAGGCTAAGTAGCTGGTCAGCCAAGTTATTATTAGGCTATTGGTGTTACAATGACTCAACATAGCTAAGCTAGCTCTCTCTTAGTTTAGGCATTGAACTGAGCTAAGCTAGATAACCCATTTTCCTATCCAAATGATTCATTGATACTGTTGCTACTTGCATGATTTTGACAATGAATGAATGGCTGGGTTTGTTATTTTTCACCCAAATTGAAATGACTTGTGTAGAAAAATTACTCTATTACACAAGAATCAAAATGAATTCATTAATTCCTGTGTATATTGTCTCTTTTTCCCTCACAGAGTTACGGACCCTCCCTGGCCCACCACTCCCTGCTCCACCTTAGAGCCCTCCAGAAACTCCACTCCCCACCTTCTTAAAGATGGAGCTGCAACATATCCACTGTGTGACCTGCCTGAGTCAGAGGTGCATGACCAGGCCTGAACCTGGTATCTCCTGTGACCTGGTCACCTGCCCCTTGGTCTGCGGGGCCATCTTCCACACCTGCAAAGGACCCGAGCACCGCCTCCTCTGCCCCCTGGAGAGGGTGCCCTGCCTGAACAGTGGCTTTGGCTGCCCTGCCACCCTGGTGCGGACACGGATTCCCGCGCACCTGCAGGTGTGTCCAGCGGGCGTGGTGTGCTGCACCATGGAGTGGAACAGGTGGCCGATCAGCTGCCTGGACTACACCTCATACGAGAGCCTGAGTTGGGGGGTGGAGGAGACAGAGCAGCTGGACATGGCGCTCGCCCTGCAGGACCAACACACGCTGATCGAGTCCCTCAAGGTGGTCGCCATGGCGCCCACAGTCGAAAGACAGCCAGCTGTTGTCGCCATAGAGAGCGAGAGTGAGAAGGACACTGCTTCGGACGCAGCTGTGCTGGTGGTGGCCGACCCTATAGCTGCCACATCTGAGTCATCATCGGTGTCATTGACGACACAGTCATCACCGTCATTGACGACGCAGTCATCACCGTCATTGACGACGCAGTCATCACCGTCATTGACGACGCAGTCATCACCGTCATTGTCGACGCAGTCACCACCACCACCATTGACGACGCAGTCACCACCACCACCATTGACGGCACAGTCACCACCACCACCATTGACGGCGCAGTCACCACCACCACCATTGACGGCGCAGTCACCACCACCACCATTGACGGCGCAGTCACCACCACCACCATTGACGGCGCAGTCACCACCACCACCATTGACGGCGCAGTCACCACCACCACCATTGACGGCGCAGTCACCACCACCACCATTGATGGCGCAGTCACCACCACCACCATTGACGGCGCAGTCACCACCACTTGGTTCAGCGAAGGATAAAATTGCCAACGGAATAAACGGTTTGAATGAGGAGCGGTATAGCAAGCTGTACGAGGCCACGGTGGAGACGGCGAGGAGCCTTGCTGCCGCGTTGGACGTCCTCAGCAGCGCTAACAGCTCTGACAACAACACAGAGCAACGCATCAACATCAACGGAGGAGCAGTGCTGGAGCCTCAGCGTAGGGAGAACAGCAGTGACAGGAACGAGGAGCTGCTGCTTCACAACAGGTTGGAGGCCAAAGGTCCTGTAGCTGAGGGTGTGGATTTGAAGGAATGCTACGGACAGCTGCACCAACTCCACCAGGCTACAGTCCAGCTAAGGAGGAGCCTGGTAACAGCCCTGGGTGACCTCGGCAACACAGTCAAATACACAGACCCAATCAACGGAGCCCCCTCTCACCCGCAGGCGGAGCCTAACGGCAGCTCCCACCAATTGGAAGATTCGGACTCAATGAACGTTGAGATGAAAGATGCTGAGGCAGGGTCATCAGTCAGACCGCTGAAAGCGGTCAGCAGAACCGACAGTGAGGTTGCCATGAACGTCGTTGCCGATGGAAACATGCAGATGGAGATTTTATGTGGGGCCTCAAAGAGTGTTGAGGGGATGGATGGACAGAGCCTAGGTTCAGATTCAGCAGACCAGCAACAGCCTGGAACCAGTTGGTCCTCCAGTGAATCAGTATGCCCAGTCAAGGTGCAAGATTACTTGAATCCGTCACCTGTGCCTCAGGGGTCCTGTGGGTCTCGGCCACAACCCCAGTCTCACCCAGACCCTCCACTAGCACCACCCCTGCATATCAACCAGGGTATTGCACACAGGGCCAGCCACGTGGTCCTAGAGGACAGAGGGCTGGAGAGGAAGTTCCAGAACCACCAGTTGCTCAGAGGCTTGGGCCAGTTTGCTCTGTCCAACGGACGGAGGGTCCGGGTTAGGTTTAGACCCAAAATGGAGGACAAAGCGGTGGATACGTCAGACCTGGAGCAGGAGGACGACCCCATGGGCCTGGGGGAGATTGACCTGATCACCGCAGCCCTCCTCTTCTGCCTTGAGGAGTCCCGCAAGTGCCGCAGAATCTCTGAAACGACCTACGTAGACGGCTTCCACGTCGACTTCGGCACGCAGACCTTCACTTTCCCAGCGGCCATCTTGGTGACCAGCACAAGGGTGGGCGACGTGGCATCTGCGGCTGCCTGCGACCACGCGCCCCAACTCTCCTACCCCAGCCCCTTCCGCACCCTCCGCCTGGACCTGGTTCTAGAGGAGGTTCCACAGATCCGGAACATGCCATGTAATCGGCTCCAGCAAATGTTCTCCTTCGTTTGCGGCCAGCTGTTCCGCAGGGATGAGTACTCCTCCCACTTCAAGAACGTCCACGAGGACATCCACGCGGGCCTCAACGGCTGGATGGAGCACCGCTGTCCCTTGGCCTACTACGGCTGCACTTACTCCCAGCGCAGGTTCTGCCCCTCATCCCAGGGGTCAAAGGTCATCCACGACCGGAACCTTCGGTCATTCGGGGTGCAGCCCAGCCCCGTTGGGGGGGAACCGTTGGGCGAGTCCCAATCAGACCAGTTCAGTGGGCTTCCCTTTGAGGTGCTGCAGCATGTGGCCCGCTTTCTAGACGGCTTCAGCCTGTGCCAGCTGTCCATGGTGTCGCAGACCATGAGGGACGTGTGTGCTAGCCTTCTGCAGTCCCGGGGGATAGTGGAACTACGGTGGGCGAGGAGGCAGTACCCAAACGGCACCTTCTCATGGCAGATCAAAGACAGGGTAAATAACTCACATTTGTTGGCTGAAACTTTGCCACCAGGTATAAGATGTGCAAAAGTTTGCCTTTTGGACCGCGGGTATTATAGTTTATAGCCATATTTACAATCCCCATCTGAGGATTTACATTTTCGGTCTAGGATTTTAGAGTGCCTCTGCCACCACATAGGGCCTTCTTATTTCAGCACTGACATGTACAATAGCACTGATGTTAAATCCCTTACCCTATATCCCATTTAAATGATCGCATGTATAGGCTAATACTACTGGATTGAACTCTCTTGCCGCTTATCAATGCTCTCTTGTTCCGTTCGGGCAGGTGTGGAGATTCAGCACTGCCTTCAGCCCCGTTAGTGAGTGGCGGTTCGCCGAAGTCTCCAGCATGTCCGACCACCTGAGGAAGTGCCGCTACAACACCTTCGAGCGCAAGATGGAGGCCGTTCCACTGCCCTCCATGTGCACAGCCAGAGACAGATCCCTCCTCTCAGTCTTGAAACTCCAGGAGCAACACATGACCTAACCTCTGTTAGCTACACTGTGTAATTTAATACTATAGGTTTTGACGTTACATGTATTTTTTATATTGAAAAAGACTGGGAGAATCGCAATTGCATACTACTTCTCCTTCAACCGTCATACAACACGGGACACAGGGAGAATCTCAATTGCATACTTCTGGCGGAGAAGGTCAGAGAGGAGGGACCTCTGGCTTTCTCATCCAATGGGTTTTGAGGCGAGGAGAGGACGCCAGCAGTATGCAATTGAGATTCTCCCTGTGTCTCGTGTTGTATGACGGTTGACGGAGAAGAGCCATAATGTATGAAATAATACTTGATCTGCTTGACACACGGATACAGTAGGTTTCTTGACCTGCAGTGTATCCATACGAGATGTAAATCAGTACTATTTAACAATTTAACTTGCATGGTTTGGTGGTGTTTAAATCGTGCCCCTATTTTGGTAACATGATTTTCTTGGACAGATACTGACCATACATAGAAAGAAATATAAATATTTTCACTGTCTTGCCTTTCAGTCATAGCCATGGGATGAGCAATTTTTTTTCCATATCGCACCATTTTCCCATAAGAGTTATGCTAGCACTTTAATGAAATGTGCAAGTCCCTGGTCACTCTTACACCAATGTACCAAAAGCATCCTAATTTAAATGAATTTGGGGGGATCCATATGTGATATGTGCAAACTGTACTTGAAGGACCAGTGGGTTGGACCAGAAAGTGACCACAACACACAAAACAAAAGAAGAGAAGTCACACGTGGTCACATGGAGATGTCCCAACAATGCATGTGATTTTTTTGCTGTTTAATAAAATTAATCTTTAATACCACCTTTCATGATCTTCCTTGTGTTTGTATAGCTCTTTGATGTTATTTTTTCTATCAGCACTATAGCGCTTCAGTGAATCAGACACACTTTTTGATTTATTTGATAAAAGTACATAAAGCTGCTCACTACCACATGTTAACTTGAGAGGAAGTGCAATAATACATGGTCATTGAGATCGAAGAAGACAAGATGGAGTCTATTTACGTTCTCCATCTCTCCAAAGGTTAAATAAAATGTTCACTTGAATGCTCATAATTAGTAATAGATTTGCATAGCTCTGGTCATTGGCAGCAGGGGATATTCCTTGGACACACCACACCCTGTACTACAGGGCTTGCGAGCATCTTTGCATGCTCAATCATAATGGTAGCATGAACCGGCTCACATAGATACACTATTCTCCATCTCGGCAGGGTTCAGGTAGTTCTAAGGTAGTGTAAATGTGGAATTCCTCTCAATGATTGACCCACTGAGGTAGGACAACTCTGCCTGAAAGTGCTTCATCATCTGCTTGGTCACGTCAAAGTATCTATCAGCCGCGTCAATGTATTCATTTGGGTATGAGCCAAGGGGGATCTGAGGAAAACAGACGATATTCCACTTTATTACTTTGTGGGAGAAGAAAATCTCCAGATATAAGCAGAAGCAAATGAGTGAGTCATGTATTTGTGATGATCAGGCCTGTCAGGTCATTGGTGCACAGGTGTTAAGTACTTTAAAGTACTACTTAAGTAGTTTTCTTGGGTATCTATACTTTACTTTACTAGTAATATTTTTGACAACTTTTACTCCACTACATTCCTAAAGAAAATAATTTACTTTTTACTCCATACATTTTCCCTGACACCCAAAAGTACTCGTTACATTTTGAATGCTTAACAGAACAGGAAAATGGTCATTCACGCGCTTATCAAGAGAACATCCCTGGTCATAACTACTTCCTCTGATCTGGCGGACTCACTAAACACAAATACTTCATTTGTAAATTATGTCTGAGTGTTGGAGTGTGCCCCTGACTATCCATTAATTTTTTTTAAACCAGAAAATCGTGCCTGATTTGCCTATAAGGAATTTGAAATTATGTATACTTTTACTTTTGATACTTAAGTATATTTTTGCAATTACATTTACTTTTGATACTTAAGTATATTTAAAACCAAATACTTTTAAACTCTTACTCAAGTATTATTTTACTGGGTGACTTTCACTTTTACTTGAGTCATTTTCTATGAAGGTATCTTTACTTTTACTCAAGTATGAGTACACTTCATTGGTGTAGGCGGGTTTAGACTAGACTAGAGCAACAATGTATGTATGTATGTATATATGTATATACAGTGGGGAGAACAAGTATTTGATACACTGCCGATTTTGCAGGGTTTCCTACTTACAAAGCATGTAGAGGTCTGTAATTTTTATCATAGGTACACTTCAACTGTGAGAGACGGAATCTAAAACAAAAATCCAGAAAATCACATTGTATGATTTTTAAGTAATTCATTTGCATTTTATTGCATGACATAAGTATTTGATACATCAGAAAAGCAGAACTTAATATTTGGTACAGAAACCTTTGTTTGCAATTACAGAGATCATACGTTTCCTGTAGGTCTTCACCAGGTTTGCACACACTGCAGCAGGGATTTTGGCCCACTCCTCCATACAGACCTTCTCCAGATCCTTCAGGTTTCGGAGCTGTCACTGGGCAATACGGACTTTCAGCTCCCTCCAAAGATTTTCTATTGGGTTCAGGTTTGGAGACTGGCTAGGCCACTCCAGGACCTTGAGATGCTTCTTACGGAGCCACTCCTTAGTTGCCCTGGCTGTGTGTTTCGGGTCGTTGTCATGCTGGAAGACCCAGCCACGACCCATCTCCAATGCTCTTACTGAGGGAAGGAGGTTGTTGGCCAAGATCTCGCGATACATGGCCCCATCCATCCTCCCCTCAATACGGTGCAGTCGTCCTGTCCCCTTTTCAGAAAAGCATCCCCAAAGAATGATGTTTCCACCTCCATGCTTCACGGTTGGGATGTTGTTCTTGGGGTTGTACTGATCCTTCTTCTTCCTCCAAACACGGCGAGTGGAGTTTAGACCAAAAAGCTATATTTTTGTCTCATCAGACCACATGACCTTCTCCCATTCCTCCTATGGATCATCCAGATGGTCATTGGCAAACTTCAGACGGGCCTGGACATGCGCTGGCTTAAGCAGGGGGACCTTGCGTGCGCTGCAGGATTTTAATCCATGACGGCGTAGTGTGTTACCAATGGTTTTCTTTGAGACTGTGGTCCCAGCTCTCTTCAGGTCATTGACCAGGTCCTGCCGTGTAGTTCTGGGCTGATCCCTCACCTTCCTCATGATCATTGATGCCCCACGAGGTGAGATCTTGCATGGAGCCCCAGACCAAGGGAGATTGACCGTCATCTTGAACTTCTTCCATTTTCTAATAATTGCGCCAACAGTTGTTGCCTTCACACCAAGCTGCTTGCCTATTGTCCTGTAGCCCATCCCAGCCTTGTGCAGGTCTACAATTCTATCCCTGATGTCCTTACACAGCTCTCTGGTCTTGGCCATTGTGGAGAGGTTGGAGTCTGTTTGATTGAGTGTGTGGACAGGTGTCTTTTATACAGGTAACGAGTTCAAACAGGTGCAGTTAATATAGGTAATGAGTGGAGAACAGGAGGGCTTCTTAAAGAAAAACGAACACGTCTGTGAGAGCCGGAATTCTTACTGGTTGGTAGGTGATCAAATACATATGTCATGCAATAAAATGCAAATGAATTACTTAAAAATCATACAATGTGATTTTCTGGATTTTTGTTTTAGATTCCGTCTCTCACAGTTGAAGTGTACCTATGATAAAAATTACAGACCTCTACATGCTTTGTAAGTAGGAAAACCTGCAAAATCGGCAGTGTATCAAATATTTGTTCTCCCCACTGTATGTGTGTATGTATGTATATATATATATATATATATATATATATATATATATATATATATTTGCGAGAAAAAAAACATATGGGGGATTGGAAGTGATGCAGACAATTACATTGATGGAAGTTACAATCTATCTGAAATATTAAAGCTGATCTACCCCCTAAAAAAAAAAAAAAAAAAAAAACAATGGCCCTGTTTGAATACTTTCAAAATGCACCGTTCTTTCCTTATTTGCTTGAGGAAATCGCTGATCAGTAACTGTAAGATTGGTGAAAGCAATGGGGTGGAAACCAGGGGAGGCTGGTAGGAGGAGCTATAGGAGGACGGGCTCATTCTAATGGCTGGAATGGAATAATTGGAACAGTATCAAACACATCAAACATATGGAAACCACATGACTCCATTCCATCAATTCCATTCCAGCCATTACGATGAGCCCGTCCTCCTAGAGCTCCTCCCACCAGCCTCCTCTGGTGGAAACCATGTTTTCACCTAACTCACACACAGACCTGTGATTACCTCAAGCAAATACGGTGGGAAGGGATAAAGGAAGGGCGCAATTGTATTCGAACAGGGTCAATGACTGCAGCAACAGTGACTGCAGCATATCACAGACATGACTCTAAAAATACCATATCTAAGAGGGTCAAATCGTTGGGGTCAAAACTCACAAATCTGAATATTTCTTGCTGAGCAGCCATATGGAAGCCACTGTTGAGCCAACGTCTGGCAGTGTCTCAAAAATGGTGCTCATGCTAGATCTATGGGGCTGTTGGGTACCCAGCTGCAGTAGTCAAACTAGAATAGAGAAAGTAGTAATATGTTTAAGGTAGTGGGTTCGATCCCCGGGACCACCCATACACAAAAATGTATGCACGCATGACTGTAAGTCGCTTTGGATAAAAGCGTCTGCTAAATGGCATATTATTATTATTATTATTATTATTTAAAAAAATACTTATCAGTCCTGCAATGTAATTTGTTAACTAGTTTTGCACTCTTCCTCATCTCACTTCTCCCATACTGACAGCGGAATGTTGTGCTGACACAGTGAAGATCACCATGGTGATGAATTTGATGACCTCCTTCACTGTGTCAAATCGCTGAGGGATTCCTGGGAAGGCAGTGGATGAGGAGAATGATCTTAAACAATAGAACTACAACAGTGATATTTCATCTGTGAATTTGATGCGTCATCATACCTGACTTTCCGTTTCCAAGGAACCCATGGATGAAGATCTCGTTGATCCAGTCCTGGAGCTCAGAGTCCCTGGACACTTCACTGTCAGAAGAATAGAAGTGCTCCACCATCCCCTGGACAAAGCTGCACATCACAACAATCAAGCACATATCTATGTTTGTGTTATTTTTTTCAATATAATTATTTCAATGGCCATTAAGGTTACTAAGGTATTACTGATATGTCCATCAGTGTAGCCATAGCGCCACCTGTTGATGGCGTTCCACAACTTCAGGCCGTCTTCCCTGTAGTAGAAGTTCGGGATGGACTCCAGTCCTCGTGCAACAATGTTCTCCAGCAGACAGACGGAGCTGTATGTGATTTCTGAGTGTGCCCTTTTCAAGAGTTCCTTCAACCCCTCCAGTCCTAAAGTGGTGTCCTAGATAAATGTAATTTTTTAGTAATTTTTTTGGGCACTTCAATAAAGTATGCATTTGTTATCATTAGGGTAGCAATGTCTATTGGGTTAGCTTTTAAGCTTTGTATACTTTTAATGTATTTAAATACCTTAGTTAAGCCTTCTTCAGGTCCAAAAAGTTTTTCACGACTAATGGTGTTTACCGGCAAGGTATAACGGAGTGGGGAATCAGCAACTGGACCGAGTACAGACAATTAGGAAGAGGGAAGTAAAGAAAATTACAAATATACATTGAAAAATATTTGTTAAAGGTCCAATGCAGCCATTTTTATCTCAATATCAAATTATAACAATTGCTACAATTAAGTACCTTACTGTGATTGTTTTCAATTAAAATGGTTTAAAAAAAACAACAGAAATAGCTTCGTAGCAAAGAGCAATTTCTCAAGCAAGAATTTTGGACAGTCTGGGAGTGGTCTGAGTGGGGAGGGGGAAACTAAAAACTAGCTGTTATTAGCAGAGAGGTTTGGAACGCTCTTTCTTATTGGTCTATTCATTAATTTACCACTTGGTTATGTCACCAGGCAGGTCAAAACTCCATCCCACTAAAACAAGCTGAAATATCAGTCTGTCTTTTCAAACACCTCTTACACTTAAAGGGCACCATCACCATTCCAACCTCATAGTGTGGAAATATATATAAAAGACAGGGAAATCATGTTTTTGACTGTACCGGGCCAAGTTTAACATATTGACATCCCATTATTCTAACATAGTAATTTGACGTTAAAGCTGGAATCTGTCTGTTTGGGATATTATAACAACAAAGAAGTTACTGCAAACAACGAACACTGTGTTTTTCCCTCGAACATCATTGCACACGTGACACAACAGAAGAATATGTACTGCAATTTTTTTTTTACCACACTGCTCGACGCACTTCACGTCCGTTTCGTCCACAAAAACAAAAACAATAACTAAGGTGCTGGGGCGGACAGTGGTGCTATTTCCCCTCATGAGGATTCCATCTTGAAACAAGACACTTTGTGATAGTTCATTGTTTGGTGGGACCCCAGTCTGTGTCAGGTTGTCATACCTTGTGGAGAGGGTGCATGATAGGAAGGCTCCGGAGGGTTGCCATAGCGAAGGCCTCGGCCAGTAAATGAGTGCCCAGTAGATGGTAGCTATTCTGGTGTTCAGTGAAATCTGCGTTCCTCACAAACATCTTGGCTAGCAGCCAGTCGTGCTCAGAGTCGCTAGGCAGAAATATGGGGTTCTGCTCAGATGGCTGCTGCTCCAGCTGTGAGGTCAGAGAAACCCATAACCAAAGGAATAAAGGCAAGTTTTTAACAAAAACACAGCTTTTATGACAACATTGTTCAGGTACAATTATCAGTACACAAACATGTAGCATTTTGGCAAATAAAAATATTAACGTCATATCAACATTCAAATATGGATCCAAACATGGACTGACTCCCCCTTCTCAGATCTATGGTTTGAATAGCCTTGAATACTGTACACACATGATATTGATTAGGGACTGTAATGTAATAATAACTGTGGAAAGAAGCTTTGTTTTGAGTAGAAGCGTTTTTAAAAAATCCTTTATTTTCTGTTAACGAGACTTTCTTTCTCTTGTTTTTAAATGGGTTTTTTTCATGGTTGTTTTATTTTTTCTTATTTTTTTTATAATGACATTTGGTTGAGTATTGTGGAACAGTTAGGATGGTACTACAGATGTAGGATCTTAATTTGAGCCAGTTTGCTACAGGAGGAAAGTAATCCTTCAGCAACAGGAAATGTGAATTATTATGTGGATTATAATTAATGGACATTTCTGTAGGGTTTGATACATTTTTCATAAGGGAAAATCAAGTCTGAAATTTCTAAGTGGAAATTACAAACTTCAGAAGACTTTTTTAACCTCAAATACACTACAAGTTTTCCTGCAACAGGGTGATCAAATTAAGATCCTACATCTGGATTATGAGCTTTATGCTGAATTGTCTAGAATATTTTCTGAAGACAGTTGCATGTTTTAGTTTCCTTTTTTAACCTAATGTCTATGTCACTTAAGTATGCCATTGGTGCAGGTGTGTGTACCTGGATGGCGATAGGCATCAGTTTGTCCTCTGGGTTATTGTAGAACAGGCAGAGAGCAGCAGTGAGGGGCAGTGCTTCACCATTGACCACCCGGGTTGGCACACCCTCAAGCCTCTTGTAGTCACAAATAAATATATTTATTGAATTAAAGTAGTTATAGTAGCTCATGCCAATCACGCAATGTCTCCTACTAGCAGAAAGACAACAACAAATCGAGATACGATTTAAGGTACCAAGGGGTTGTATGAGGGAACAGCAGGGGCACAAGCAATGAACCCTGTGGAACACCAAATTCAACTTTACCTCTAGTTTAGGGGCATAAATTCTTCCCCTAACTCAATTGTATTGCTAACTAGCACCACCCACCTGTGATGAAATACAAATCTATACAGCATATTTAGAGATCTGAGGCGTGGCTATTACCAACGTATTTTTCAATACCTCCCGTCCTTCAGGAAGGGCTGTACCATCTCGTCTGTGACGGGGAAGTTAGGGGGAAGCGTTGTGCAGCGCTGGATCACATTGGGGTTGTTTCCATTCAGAAACTGGGACCCAAAAAAGTAATCCTCCTTCCAGTACTCAGAGACATACTCTAGGATGGAGGTATTATGTCCATGTAAGCTTAAACAAATATCTAGACTGATTCAACAAACAAGTCTTACTAGGACAGATATATGGCAGTATGCACTAGCCTAATAAGCATATGGTTTTGATGAGAAAGGACATTTGGTATCCTTTTTAAGCTGGTAGGGCCCACTGATGTAAGAGCAAGTTGCTGTTTGCTGCCATTACATCTAATAATGTACCCTATGTTTGATGTTTAACTTGAGGGGTCAGCTCTTTTACCTGAGATGGGTGTCTTTCTGAACCAGAACACCTTTTTCATCTTATCCAAGTCTTCCCACTGCTTGGTGGAGTCCGCAAGGCCCTTCAGTTTGAGCTCAAGCATTCTGGTGGGGGGTAGATGGGGTTAAAGGTGAGAGTTGAAAGGTTACAGGGATATTTCCTTCATGTCATGTCATTATCATCTCACAGTCTTAGGGATGGTTCTGTGTTTGCATCTCTAGATGGAAAAATGCTACATTGGTATTGGTGGGTTTTATGTGCTGCTTTGAACCTACCCTGATTCTCTTGTGTAGATTGTCTCTACCTCTTTGGAAAAAGAAAAGAGAACTTCAGCAAGAAGGGCTGAGAGTTCTTTGGCACTGTTCATGTGGGGAAGTCCCTCAGCAAACTCGTTCCACCTGAGGGTGGGCCAACAACACACACAAACTTATTAAAACAAATAAATGTGAAAAGTCACACAGACATGTGTACATATACTCACAGTAATCTACAGCATTATACAGATGGACAGTTCTGTCAGTGTGTTGAGCTGGGAAGTGGAAAACTCACTGGAACAGTTTCTTGTGAGGCTCCAGCTCCTTTTTACGATAGTCCACCAGCAGAGGGAGCTCATCCTCAAAAATCTTTTGCTGGCTGTGACGTGGAGAGGCATTGAAAGAGGACAGAGTATGAGCAAAGAAGGTCAAAGTAGGCGAATGTATCACATCTTAGTTACATTCTTATAATATAAGTTATACAGCTATGCAGAAGTTATATGATAAATAACATTCACTAGGGTATTATATTCCCAGAACAAATGCTGATTCAGGGCACACCTTTTCCTCCTCTCAGCTCCACAACCTCCCCTCTGGACACCCATTTGTAACAGGGGAAGTGAATGACATCATACTCAGGTGTCGTCGCGACAACCTTAGAGCAGAACCACTTGTTTTCTGGCAGGAACAGATACTGCTCTTTCTCCAGTTTAACCAGGAGGAGGCGCCCCAGAGGTGACAGGGTGGTCACAGTGTAGGTCCCTGTCTGTGGAGAATGGAGATGTGGCAGTTTAACCCTACATCAGGCAAGTCATTTTGACCAAAAGCCTTTTTGTGCCACATGCCATTTTTACAGCAGAGCCAAACACTGTAAAAATCAACATGAGCAAAAAAGTTCACTTTTGGGGCTGTCAAGGTAGCACCTGGAAGTGAACAAACCTTGTAAAAATACTATAAAAATGTTTTAGGAGACTATCCTCCTTGAGACCTGTCACTTTGTACATGTCACTACTAGTACAGAAAGCCATCACCCTCGAGACACTACAATGATGGTGAGTGAATATGCAAAACACTCCAATCTTCATTTCCAGTCACGGTCAGAGAAAATGGCTGCTGCAAATGTCCCACATGTGCATAAGATAGCCAAATGTCTCACCTTATCAATATAGTGTACATACTGTAGTCTACCTCTAATGAATGAACATACAGCATGATATCACACACCGTGTTAGTCTCCAGTGTTGCCAAAGTGATTTGACCAATTCTGTGAACATCTTCCCATCGACATTATGTATAATCCTGTGCATTGTTTGAAGTCGGCAGTTTTGTTTTAGGTGAAATCACACTTTTTAAAAGCAGCCTTGAAAATTATATTTTAGAAAGGTTTGCCATCTTTATGATGCCTCTATCACATTCAGGGTTAATACACATATTTGCAATTCTTAACTACAACAACTCACTCATCAATTCCCTTTTATATTTGTTTCAGTGCAGGGTTAAAAAAAAACATGCAAAATAAACAGACAAAAGAAGACAATATGTCACTGTGAAGGAAGGTGGGGTATAGAATGCTTATAACTCACCTTTCCAGTCATGAAATGTAGGCCAGAGTTGTCCCCTCCGTTCCAATCAGTGTGGCGTAAATACTGTCAGAGGTAGAAGAGTGCAGAAAGTCACCAGTAGTCAGATCTATTTTGTACTGGTGTTGTACTAGTATTGCCATGGTGAGTCAACGGCAAAAACACACAAACCAGAGGCAAAAATGTACTAGAAAATAGACCACTCTTTAGTGAATGTAGACAAGTGCAGGTGGAATATGGTTCTCTTTCTCTCTCTCTTTCAACATTCATTTGACTATCTTAAAGGGGTGTGCCTGTGTCTGTATCAACCAGGATTTTGGTTCCATGCCGGTGGACAAAGCACATTTTGCATGATGATTAAGTATCAGTATGAAAAAAGTATGCACTCACTAACTGTAAGTCACTCTGGATAAGAGCATCTGCTAAATGACTAAAATGTAAAATGTAAAACTTTCCATAATCATCATTCAGCTCAAATATGAGCTGCATTCTGATCAACAATCCAATGCTACTCAGTATGGAATGAGATACAAAGAGGACAAATTGCATTTGTAATCCACTTTATTCATGCATTCTTTATAAAGACAATTGCAAAGGTGCATTTTCTAAAGTTGGTAGCCATTTCTTGCGACTTTAGTCCAGGACTCTGTGGTACTCTGTGGCTCCAGGACTTCAGCTGCCTTCTAGATAGTCCATTTGGTTATCCATTTATCCATGATGATTGAAGTGATGCTCCAGAGCCTTTGTATAATTTCAGCCAGTAGTTTAGAAAGTGGTGCTCACAAGCCAAAATGGGTCCCTTTTTTTGGTATACTACGTAATCAAATTGTGTACTACACCATCCATTTTGTATGATAAGTTACGTCTTGTACAATTTCTATGATATGTTACGAATCCAATTCGTAAAAAGAAAGTAAGAAATTCACACACTCTATGCTCCCAAACATTTAATGGGTATAGCAACCAATGTTTCAGCAAGCAAGTGCGTTCTTCAATATAATTTGTACAATATGTTACTAATTTGTTGTGCTTAAGATCCCAGACTGCTTCTTTAAGTAAATCATTTGAATACCCTGCTCAGTGCAGTTGTACATACGATTTGCCCAGCAGGTAAAGCCGGTTGCAATGATATGGGCATAAGCTCAATCATATGGATACACTATTCTCCATCTCGGCAGGGTTCAGGTAGTTATAGGGTAGTGTAAGCGTGGCATTCCTCTCAATGATTGACCCACTGAGGTAGGACAACTCTGCTTGGAACTGCTTAATCATCTGCTTGGGGACAGCCTCATCAAAGTGTTGATCTGGGTATGTACCAAGGGTAATCTAAGGAAGACAGAACAAACATGGTTTAATTCATGATTTATGTGACCAGTCAAAAGTTTGGACACACCTACTCATTCAAGGGTTTTTCTTTATTTTTACTATTTTCTACATTGTAGAAAAATAGTGAAGACATCAAAACAATGAAATAACACATATGGAATCATATAGTAACCAAAACAGTGTTAAACAAATCAAAATATATTTTATATTTGAGATTCTTCAAATAGCCACCCTTTGCCTTGATGACAGCTTTGCACACTCTTGGCATTCTCTTAACCAGCTTCATGAGGCAGTCACCTGGAATGCATTTCAATTAACAGGTGTGCCTTCTTAAAAGTTAATTTGTGGAATGTCTTTCCTTCTTAATGCATTTGAGCCAATCAGTTGTGTTGTGAAAAGGTAGGGGTGGAATACAGAAGATAGCCATATTTGGTAAAAGACCAAGTCCATATTATGGCAAGAACAGCTCAAATAAGCAAAGAGAAACAACAGCCCATCATTACTTTAAGACATGAAGGTCAGTCAATACGGAACATTTCAATTACTTTGAACATTTCTTCAAGTGCAGTCGCAAAAACCATGAAGCGCTATGATGAAACTGGCTCTCATGAGGACCGCCACAGGAAAGGAAGACCCAGAGTAACCTCTGCTGCAGAGGATAAGTTCATTAGAGTTAACTGCACCTCAGATTGCAGCTCAAATAAATGCTTCACAGAGTTCAAGTAACAGACACATCTCAACATCAACTGTTCAGAGGAGACTGCGTGAATCAGGCCTTCATGGTCGAATTGCTGCAAAGAAACCACTACTAAAGGACACAAATACTTGCTTGGGCCAAGAAACACGAGCAATTGACATTAGACCGGTGGAAATCTGTCCTTAAGTCTAATGACTCCAAATTTGAGATTTTAGGTTCCACCCGCCGTGTTTTTGTGAGACGCAGAGTAGGTGAACGGATGATTTCCGCATGTGTGGTTCCCACCGTGAAGCATGGAGGAGGAGGTGTGATGGTGCTTTGCTGGTGACACTGTCTGTGATTTATTTAGAATTCAAGGCACACTTAACCAGCATGGCTACCACAACATTCTGCAGCGATACGCCATCCCATCTGGTTTGCGCTTAACGGGACTATAATTAGTTTTTCAACAGGACAAAGACCCAACACACCTCCAGGCTGTGTAAGGGCTATTTGACCAAGAAGGAGAGTGATGGAGTGCTGCATCAGATGACCTCGCCTCCACAATCACCCAACCTCAACCCAATTGAGATGGTTTGGGATGAGTTGGACCGCAGAGTGAAGGAAAAATAGCCAAGTGCTCAGCATATGTGGGAACTCCTTCAAGACTGTTGGAAAAGCATTCCTCATGAAGCTGGTTGAGAGAATGCCAAGAGTGTGCAAAGCTGTCATCAAGGCAAAGGGTGGCAACTTTGAAGAATCTCAAATATATTTTGATTTGTTTAACACTTTTTTGGTTACTACATGATTCCATATGTGTTATTTCATAGTTTTGATGTCTTCACTCTTATTCTACAATGTAGAAAATAGTAAAAATAAAGAAAAACCCTTGAATGAGTAGGTGTGTCCAAACTTTTGACTGGTACTGTATATTTAAGCAATAAGGCCCGAGGAGGTGTGGTATATAACCAATAAATGCTTTGTCATTCCCGTGGTATACGGTCTGATATACCATGGCTGTCCGCCAATCAGCATTCAGGGCTCAAACCACCCAGTTTATAATTTAGATTAGAAGAAGTGAACAAATCAGTCTTGTATTTGTGAATAGGTTTGTCAAAAGCAACAGTGACTGCACCATATTACAGACATGATCTTGACATAGACAGTGAAATAATAACTCACTATGTCCGCGTATCTCTTGCTGAGCAGCCATGTGGAAGCCATGTTGTTGACAGTAGTGCTGATGTCTGGCAGTACTTCCAGAATGGTGTTCATGCTAGAGCTCCCCTTAGTGGTGGGAGGAGCTTTGCGCAGAAGCAGGGGGTTGTTGGGTACCCAACCACCGTAGTCAAACTAGAAAAGAGAGACATCCTTGTATAAACCAATGGTCAGAAGGCTAAATAATTCACGTTTAAGTAACAAAGCTATATTAAAACAAATACATGAACTATGTTACTATAACCTAAATTCCATTTTTGATGGGGAATTCTATAGCGTGAACGTGGCTACTTGAAATGCTCTCTTCCTTAACTTACCTGCCCCATATTGAGGGCGCAATGTTGAGCTGACACGGTGAAGATAATCATGGTAACGAATTTGACAACTTCCTCCACTTTGTCAAATCGCTTAGGGATTCCTGTGGAGGCAACATCAGTGGATGAGGAGGATAGGTAATACAACACGTCACAACAGTGTAGCTTTCTTGGTTTTATTGACTGATACTTCATAAGTAAAGTACCTAACTTGTTGTTTCCAAGGAACCCATGGATGAAGATCTCGTTGATCCAGTCCTGGAGCTCAGAGTCCCTGGACACTTCACTGTCAGAAGAATAGAAGTGCTCCACCATCCCCTGGACAAAGCTGTACACCACAACACATTTTTAATGGCATGTTCAGTAAACCAAGCTAGCTACTAACTGTATTGATTTAAAGCTTCAGCCCGTACTGTTGTGTTATTTAGATTAATTGAGAAGTGTTATTCTCACTTTGCCAATAGGGGTTATTCAAATAAATAGCGCCACCTGTGGATGATGTTCCACAGCTTCAGGCCGTCCTCCCTGTAGTAGAAGTTGGGGATGGATTCCAGTCCTCGTGCAACAATGTTCTCCGGCAGACAGAGGGAGCTGTAGGTGATTTCTGAATGTGCCCTTTTCAAGAGTTCCTTCAACCCCTCCAGTCCCATAGCACCCTAAAGAAAGGAAAAGTTTACGTCAATACAGCACACCAAGTGGTAAACATGGAATTGTATCGGCTGAATCAATGCATTCATTTCAGTGTTAAGGTACGTACATTTGCTAAGGGTCCATCAGGACTAATCAGTCTTTTTCGCGCAAGAAGGTTGATCTGCAGGGTGTAACGGAAGTGGGGTATCAGCAACTATACAGAGACAGAGGAGAAATAGAAAGAACAAAAGAAAAATAAGCAAAATATTTATTAATGTCATAGAAGAAATAACCATTAATGATGTGTTGATGTCCCATAAATCTATCCAAGATCTCTAGAGAGAAGTTGAACGATAGGTTTCATGACTGAATTTACAGCTCAGGGATAATAACATGCATTTGCTTGCTGTTCATTGTTTGGTGGGACCCCAGTCTGTGTCAGGTTGTCATACCTTGTGGAGAGGGTGCATGATAGGAAGGCTCCGGAGGGTTGCCATAGCGAAGGCCTCGGCCAGTAAATGAGTGCCCAGTAGATGGTAGCTGATCTGGTACTCTGAGAAATCTGCGTTCCTCACAAATATCTTGGCTAGCAGCCAGTCGTGCTCCGAGTCGCTAGGCAGAAATATGGGGTTCTGCTCAGATGGCTGCTGCTCCAGCTGTGAGGTCAGAGAAACCCATAACCAAAGGAATAAAGGCAAGTTTTTAACAAAAACACAGCTTTTATGACAACATTGTTCAGGTACAATTCTCAGTACACAAACATGTAGCATTTTGGCAAATAAAAATATTAACGTCATATCAACATTCAAATATGGATCCAAACATGGACTGACTCCCCCTTCTCAGATCTATGGTTTGAATAGCCTTGAATACTGTACATACATTATATTGATTAGGGACTGTAATGTAATAATAACTGTGGAAAGAAGCTTTGTTTTGAGTAGAAGCGTTTTTAAAAAATCCTTTATTTTCTGTTAACGAGACTTTCTTTCTCTTGTTTTTAAATGGGTTTTTTTCATGGTTGTTTTAATTTTTCTTATTTTTTTTAATAATGACATTTGGTTGAGTATTGTGGAACAGTTAGGATGGTACTACAGATGTAGGATCTTAATTTGAGCCAGTTTGCTACAGGAGGAAAGTAATCCTTCAGCAACAGGAAATGTGAATTATTATGTGGATTATAATTAATGGACATTTCTGTAGGGTCTGATACATTTTTCATAAGGGAAAATCAAGTCTGAAATTTCTAAGTGGAAATTACAAACTTCAGAAGCCTTTTTTAACCTCAAATACACTACAAGTTTTCCTGCAACAGGGTGATCAGATGGCTGCTGCTCCAGCTGTGAGATAATATATGCCATTTAGCAGACACTTATCCAAAGTGACTTACAGTCATGCATGCATATATTTCACGTATGGGTGGCCCTGGGAATCGAACCCACAACCCTGGCGGTGCAAGCGCCATGCTCTACCAACTGAGTCATACATGACCAGATCAGAGAAACCCAGAGGTCAGAAGTAATCATCACTTCTGAGGAACAGATTTACTAAGCATTTGCAACATTGTAACATCTGCACCTGTTTCCAGGTATGTGTACTGTACCTGGATGGCAATAGGCAGCAGTTTGTCCTCTGGGTTCTTGTAGAACAGGCAGAGGGCAGCAGTGAGGGACAGTGGTTTACCATTGACCACCCGGGTTGGCACACCCTTAAGCCTCTTGTAGTCGCAAAGGAATATGTTTCCTTCCTGTAGGGAGGAAAGGAAACAGAGGTTAAAGACTTTGTGGGAACATGGAATTTAAAGTACCCACTGGCCAGAAACTGGTTGAATAAACGTTGTTTACGAGTAATTTCAACAAAAATATTCAGTGTGATGACATTGAATCAACGTGAAAAACTGTTTGGATTTGCAAAAAGTCATCAACATGGATTTTTAAATCCAATGACATGGTGAATTTATTTGTTGATTTCACGTTAGTTGATAACTCAATCAAATGTAAATCAAAAGTAGACGTGGAACTGACGTCTGTTCCCTGTGGGTAGTTAAGCAGTAGCTCATGCTATAAGAGACAAAGAAAAAGAAGAACGGATGTCCACGGATTATGTTACAAAAGGGTAGCATGTATAAAGTGAACAGAAGGGATCCAAGCACTGAACCTTGTGGAACACCATATCCCACTTTAGAGTTGTAAGATAACTTACAATCTAACTGTTCATAATTTATACCTGCATCTCCATCGCCAGGGAACTGCCATCCTCCAGGAAGGGCTGTACCATCTCATCTGTGACAGGGAAGTTGGGGGGAAGCGTTGTGCAGCGCTGGATCACATTGGGGTTGGTTCCATTCAGAAACTGGGACCCGAAAAAGTCATCCTCCCTCCAGTGCTCAGAAACATACTCTAGGAGGGAGGAATTTAAAATATGATATCTCTAAATTACCCTTATAGTTGATATACAATTCAAGGGATCAGGTCTCTTACCTGAAATGGGTGTTCTATTGCTCCAGAAGACATGTTTCATCAGATCCAGGTCTTTCCACTGCTCGGTGGAGTCCACCAGGCCTTTCAGTTTGAGCTCAGCTATACTGGTAGGGGCAGATGGGGTTAGAAGAGACAGGTTATATGCCATGTTTATTCCCTCACGGTCATAGGAAAGGTTCTGTGCATTTGGATGAACATCAGTGGTGGCTGGTGCAACTTAAAATCGAAGGACCATCTCATAGTAATGGTTGGAATGGAATAAATGGAATGGTATCAAACACATCAAACATGTGGTTTCCATGTGTTTGATACCATTCCATTCACTACATTCCAGCCATTATTATAAGCTGTCCACCCCTCACCAGCCTCCTCTGTCGAACATACAGTATGTTACACTGGTACTGTTGTGGGCATTTAAACTGCTTTAGATGTGCCATCTGCTTTGAACTTACGCTGCAGCTTTGGTGTAGATAAACTCAGACATTTTGGAGAAGGAAAATTTAACTTCAGAAGGGAGAGCTGAGACTTCAGTGGCGTTATTGATGTGGGGAACTCCCTCGGCATACACAATCCACCTAATGGTGAGACAAGAAGACACACACACAATCAATCTAAAAGTGTTGTACAGAAAAGTTGACTGACTGGTGTGTGCTGTGTGTTGAGCTGTAGACAGTCCTACACAAACAACTGGTAAAAACACTCACTGGAACAGTTTCTTGTTACGCTCCAACTCCTTTTTACGATGGTCCACCAGTAGAGGGAGCTCATCCTCAAAAATCTTGCTGGCTGTGAAGTGGAGAAGAGGCCAAGATGTACACACTTATAGTAGCAGCAGGATTATAAATAACATTAGAGTATCCCCAGAACAAATGCTGAATCAGGACACACCTTTTCCTCCTCTCAGCTCCACAACTTCCCCTCTGGACACCCATCTGTAACAGGGGAAGAGGATTACGTCACCCTCAGGCATCGTCACGACAACCTTGGAGCAGAACCACTCGTTTTCCGGCAGCAACAGGTACTGCTCTTTCTCCAGCTTGACCAGGAGGAGGCACCCCAGAGACGAGAGGGTGGTCACAGTGTAGGTCCCTGTCTGTGGAGAATGGAGATGTACAGGGTGTTGAATAGCTAGCTACATGCTTGGGCTGAAGAGCAGGATCACATTCATTATGACTATCCCCTAAACATTAAATATAAATTATTCAAATTAAGGTTGTCTATCTATCAGGACATGTACAGGTAAGTTGACAGAAAGGATTTTAAGTGGGGTTTTTTAACAATCTGGACAAATTAATGTTCTTAAAAGGGAAAAAGTGAAACCAGTGAGCAGTGTAAAGTGGTTCTGCTGGTTTAGAAACTGGTTCTGCTGGTCCTCAAAGATAAGACATAGCACCTCAACAAAAGACCACTTCAAAATATCTATTCACATGTAAATGTTTCTAATATGTGCCCGGTGCTGACAGTAGTGCTGCTGCCCCAGAACAACACACTGCTCCTGGAGGCATGGGTTCAAACACAGACAGAACCACTTTCCATTCTATGTTCCATTCTCTCCTCAGCTCAATAATTTATCCACTGTATCTATCGATAAAAACTACAAAATGTAAATATATATATACAGTCCATTCGGAAAGTATTCAGACCCCTTGACTTTTTCCACATTTTGTTACGTTACAGCCTTATTCTAAAACGGATTAAATACAAAAGTTTCCACATCAATCTACACACAATACCCCATAATGATGAAGTGAAAACAGGTTTTTAGAAATGTTAGCAAATTTAAACAATTTTTTTAAACAGAAATAACTTATTTACATAAGTATTCAGACCTATCGCTATTAGTCTCGAAATTGAGCTCAGGTGCATCCTGTTTCCATTGATCATCCTTGTTATGTTTCTACAACTTGTTTGGAGTCCACCTGTGGTAAATTCAATTGATTGGACATGATTTGGAAAAGGCACACACCTGTCTATATAAGGTCCCACAGTTGACAGTGCATATCAAAGCAAAAACCAAGCCATGAGGTCGAAGGAATTGTCCGTAGAGCTCCGAGACAGGATTGTGTCGAGACACAGATCTGAGGAAGGGTACCAAAACATGTATGCAGCATTGAAGGTCCCCAAGAACACAATGGCCTCCATCATTCTTAAATAGAAGAAGTTTGGAACCACCAAGACTCTTCCTAGAGCTGGCGGCCTTGCCAAACTGAGTAATCGGGGGAGAAGGGCCTTGGTCTGAGAGGTGACCAAGAACCCGATGGTCACTCTGACAGAGCTCCAGAGTTCCTCTGTGGAGATGGGAGAACCTTCCAGAAGGACAACCATCTCTGCAGCACTCCACCAATCAGGCCTTTATGGTAGAGTTGCCAGACGGAAGCCACTCCTCAGTAAAAGGCACATGACAGTGCGCTTGGAGTTTGCCAAAAGGCAATAAAGGACTCTCAGAACATGAGAAACAAGATTCTCAGGTCTGATGAAACCAAGATTGAACTCTATGAATGCCAAACATCACATCTGGAGGAAACCTGGCAGCATCTCTACAGTGAAGCATGGTGGTGGCAGCATCATGCTATGGGGATGTTTTTCAGCGGCAGGGACTGGGAGACTAGTCAGGATCGAGGGAAAGATGAACGGAGCAAAGAACAGAAAGATCCTTGATGAAAACCTGCTCCAGGGTGCTCAGGACCTCAGACTAGAGCGACGGTTCACCTTCCAACAGGACAACGACCCTAAGCACACAGCCCAGATAACGCAGGAGTAGCTCCTGAGTGGCGCAGTGGTCTAAGGCACTGCATCGCAGTGCTAACTGTGCTACTAGAGATCCTGGTTCGAATCCAGGCTCTGTCGCAGCCGGCCGCGACCGGGAGACTCATGGGCGGCGCACAATTGGCCCAGCGTCGTCCAGGGTAGGGGAGGGAATGGCCGGCAGGGATGTAGCTCAGTTGATAGAGCATGGGTTGTGGGTTCGTTTCCCATAAGGGGCCAGTATAAAAATAAAAAAAATGTATTCACTAACTGTAAGTCGCTCTGGATAAGAGCGTCTGCTAAATGACTAAAATGTAAATGCTTCGGGACAAGTCTCTGAATGTCCTTGAGTGGCCCAGCTAGAGCCCAGACTTGAACCCAATCAAACATCTCTGGAGAGACCTGAAAATAGCTGTGAAGTAACGCTCCCCATCCAAACTGACAGAGCTTGAGAGGATCTGCAGAGAAGTATGGGAGAAACTCCCCAAATACAGGTGTGCCAAACGTGTAGCGTCATACCCAAGAAGACTCGAGGCTGTAATCGCTGCCAAAGGTGCTTCAACAAAGTACTGAGTAAAGGGTCTGAATACTTATGTAAATAAGGTATTTCTGTTTTTACATTTTTTTAATTAGCAAAAATGTCTAAAAACCTGTTTTCACTTTGTCATTATGGGGTATTGTGTGTAGATTGATGTGGGAAATAATAATTTCATCAATTTTAGATTAAGGCTGTAACGTAACAAAATGTGGAAAAAGTGAAGGGGTCTGAATACTTTCCGAATGCACTGTGTATATATATTTATATATATATATATATATATATATATATATATATATATACACACACATACAGTGTGGAAAAAAAGTATTTAGTCAGCCACCAATTGTGCAAGTTCTCCCACTTAAAAAGATGAGAGAGGCCTGTAATTTTCATCATAGGTACACGTCAACTATGACAGACAAATTGAGTTTTTTTTTCTCCAGAAAATCACATTGTAGGATTTTTAATGAATTTATTTGCAAATTATGGTGGAAAATAAGTATTTGGTCACCTACAAACAAGCAAGATTTCTGGCTCTCACAGACCTGTAACTTCTTCTTTAAGAGGCTCCTCTGTCCTCCACTCGTTACCTGTATTAATGGCACCTGTTTGAACTTGTTATCAGTATAAAAGACACCTGTCCACAACCTCAAACAGTCACACTCCAAACTCCACTATGGCCAAGACCAAAGAGCTGTCAAAGGACACCAGAAACAAAATTGTAGACCTGCACCAGGCTGGGAAAACTGAATCTGCAATAGGTAAGCAGCTTGGTTTGAAGAAATCAACTGTGGGAGCAATTATTAGGAAATGGAAGACATACAAGATCACTGATAATCTCCCTCGATCTGGGGCTCCACGCAAGATCTCACCCCGTGGGGTCAAAATGATCACAAGAATGGTGAGCAAAAATCCCAGAACCACACGGGGGGACCTAGTGAATGACCTGCAGAGAGCTGGGACCAAAGTAACAAAGCCTACCATCAGTAACACAGTACGCCACCAGGGACTCAAATCCTGCAGTGCCAGACGTGTCCCCCTGCTTAAGCCAGTACATGTCCAGGCCCGTCTGAAGTTTGCTAGAGTGCATTTGGATGATCCAGAAGAGGATTGGGAGAATGTCATATGGTCAGATGAAACCAAAATAGAACTTTTTGGTAAAAACTCAACTCGTCGTGTTTGGAGGACAAAGAATGCTGAGGTTTTTTTTTGTGTGATTTTGTTGTCAGCACATTCAACTATGTAAAGAAAAAAGTATTTAATAAGATTATTTCATTCATTCAGATCTAGGATGTGTTGTTTAAGTGTTCCCATAATTTTTTTGAGCAGTGTATTTTCAATAACCAAAAATATAGTATTTTCAGCCTTTTTAAGCTGGTGTACAACACAAAGTAAAAGACGCAAAAACTAAATTTAAGAAAGGGAAGCATAGAAATAGTGCATATAGAACAGATCTACCACTTCTTAGACTTGCTTTCAGTGAGAATGACAGATTTATAACTCACATTTCTATGTGAATTTGGTCGGGTTGGCCAAAAAGTTACATATTGCAGCTTTAAGTATTTCCCCTCATTGCTCACTGGTAACTTACCATCCCAGTCATGAAATCTAGACCAAAGTTGTCAAGGTTAGTGCGCTCACTTTCCCCCTCTGTTCCGATCAGTGTGACATAGATGTAGTCAGATGAGCCAGAGAATAGAAAGTCCCCTGTAGTCACCTGTACTTTGTACTCAACCATGGTGAGTCAATGGAAAAACTGGGAAAGGCAAAAAATATACTTAACACAGACAAAGGGGTTCTATCATTCAATGCAATAAACACTTTTTGCCAAACAATATAATCGTTACAATATTTTCTGAGATACTGGAATTTTGGGTGAAGACATCCACGGAACTCCCAGACATTTCACAATTTTGTTGTAGCCCTGACCTTGCTCTCCTGATTCACTTAGTCAAGGGATTGATCATTAGTACTATGGTTCTACATACAAGCTTTTTGCAATATGCAATATTTTAAAGTCAACATACCTTATCAACGAATGGAAAATATGGAGTATCTCTCTCTCTCTCTCTAGACTTTGTGTCACCTGTTACCTTTACTCTGTTTTAAGGGCTGCCCCTCGCCCTGGTCAAACAGGTTCCTCGGTTAGAACCAGCAGATTTTGTGTGCTAATGTTGATAATGTACAAACAATCAAAAATCCAGAATGTAGCAATACCAGAACAGATAAACAATGAGTATGGAGCTCATCACCAGTACAGCATGTAATGATGGGTACTGCCATATCCCTTGGGGATGTCCTTCCACATTCCCCAGGGTTTCAGGTCTGGCAGAAACAACTTATTCTTGTCTGGGCAAGTGAGTTGTGTTAAAGAATGCTTTTAAAATGGTGTTCAGTTTCTTCTACTAGCCTGCTGTTGTCATTTAATGCTGGTCGGTAAATCCTGGACAGGGGCGTGTGCAAGCATCATGAAAACAATTATGTTACTGTTATTGTTAATCAGGCTTATGGTCACACATGAACAGAGAGACTTAAAGGAATAGTTCACCCACCCAGCTTGGCATTTGGCTGGAGCAATGTGGATGGGTAGTCAAGCTAACTAAAGACTACTATCCCACTATATTTTATCACTAACCTACTTCTACATTCTACACTACAGTAGGTTACAGTCCTTAAATGGATAGGTTTCCTTACCCTGTAAGCAGTCTATGGACAAGTTATGACAGCAATCCATGCTTTGGTTTAGTTTCCCCTGGCAGTACGTGTTTCCACATGCTAATGGCACAAATCCCATTCAAGTCATGGGACCGATTTCAGCATTTTTCACACATCATGTTCAAAACATCTGTAAGTTACTTTGTTGAGCTTCACAATACATTTGAGATACTTTCGGATGATTTGGACATAATGCGCAAAAAATTATAATAATAATAATATGCCATTTAGCAGACGCTTTTATCCAAAGCGACTTACAGCCATGTGTGCATACATTTTTACGTATGGGTGGTCCCGGGGATTGAACCCACTACCCTGGCGTTACAAGCACCGTGCTCTACCAATTGAGCAACAGAGGACCACAATATCGGTCCCATGACTTGAATGGAATTTGTGCCACAAACAGTTTCAGGGAAACTAAACCAAAGTATGGATTGCTGTCATAACTGCTTACAGGGTAAGGAAACCAAAGCATCATTTTTGTCACTTGGGTGAACTATACCTTTAAGGACTGTAGCCTATTGAAAAATGGAAGCTAATGTAGTACAAGTAGGTTAGTGATTAAATATACACTGAGTATACAAAACATTAGGAGCATCTTCCTAATATTGAGTTCACCCTCTTTTGCCCTCAGAACAGACTCAATTTGTTGGGACATGGACTCTGCAAGGTGTCAAGCGTTCCACAGGGATGCTGGCCCATGTTGACTCCAATGCTTCCCACAGTTGTGTCAAGTTGGCTGGATGTCCTTTGGGTGGTGGACCATTCTTGATACACACAGGAAACTGTTGAGCGTGGGAAAACCCAGCAGTGTTGCAGTTCTTGACACACCCAGATGTGCCTGTTGTGTCATGTAAAAATCTTCCCAGCGTGAAATAGTTCCAATCGTTCTGATTGTGTTGTCATTATGACGTCATGTTGTAACATTTCACGCGATATGAATCAGACAGTGGGGCGCCGCCTGACCCACTAGTTGGTCAGAAGGTTCAAATCAACGTTTCATATCGTGGTGTAGATGTACTGTATTGACAATGACACAATAACGCGAGATCACATTTCCAGCATGGCCGACAACCAGACCTCAGTTGCCCGCCATAGGAAGCAAAATGGTAATTCATTAATAATAAGTGAGCATTGCATTTGCAGCTCCTAAATTAATAAAATCATGTCACCTCTGAACGAGCTCCTGCAACTCGTGGCCCTGCTGGCTAGCTTGACTGACATTGCTAGCCCGCGGGCGCGTTCCAGGTTGCAGGTCGACACGGGTGCGTTCAAGGTGGACTTCATTGCTTCTTAATTTATGATTATTACAACGCTTGGATAGTTAACATAACATATTAGCATAATTCGTTCAGATTATTTGATGATTTATTGGCCTTATTTGATTTTTTACAAATCCAAAATCACTATTGCAGGGCTGACCAACTCTGTTCCTGGAAAGCTAGGTTTTTGCTCCAAACCCAGTAGTAACTAACGTGATTCAACTTATCAACCAGTTAGTTAGGTGCGCTAGATAAGGGTTTGAACAAAAACCTACATTCCCATTCAAACACAGAATCCTATACTGGATTTCTACAGACTTCCAACACAATTCAACAAGACAAGATTTGGAAGATGGCCACGCAACGCTAGTGTTGAACATATCAGCTAACCACATACTGGTGGTGTTCCTGCCTGATTACGTTGAAGACATTGCATTGCATCAACCAATGGTTGTGCGCCACGTCATCGACTGTCAGGCATTACATTGCTATATCATATGATGTGGTTAGCTGATATGTTAAAGACGTATCCAAGCTTTGTGAGATCTGGCAGGCGTCTGAAATGTAGTCAGGCAGGAATGTCACCCATATGATATAGCGGTATAGCAATCTAATGCCCGACTCCGCAGTCGATGACGTGGCATGCAAATGACGTGCTATGCAACTATTGGTTGATGCAATGCATTATCTGCAATTTGGTCAGGGCCTGGAACATCACCCTCAACTAGCTGAGTCAGGTATGTTAGGTTAAGGCGGCAGGTAGCTTAGTGGGTAAGAGCGTTGTGCCAGTAACCGAAAGGTCGCTGGTTCTAATCCCCGAGCTGACTAGGTGAAAAATCTGTCGATGTGCCCTTGAGCAAGGCACTTAACCCAATTGCTCCTGTAAGTCGCTCTGGATAAGAGCGTCTGCTAAATGACAAAAAAAAAAAAAATAAATAAATAAATAATAAAAAAAAAAAAGGTTGGACTGAATACCCACAGGATGGTAGATCTCCAGGAAGAGGGTTAGGTAGCTCTGTTGTAACCTATGTAAGTACTAGGTCGTATTTATTGGTTCGGACCGTAGCAAAACTCCCTTTTGCAATGGAAAACTAAAAACAAAAGTTTCTTATAGGACAAGCTCAGGTAGTCTCTTGCAGTTTCAGTCCATTCTAATTCTGTTTGGTGCCTAATGAATACGACCCTGTACTGCCTCCAACCAAGTCCCAGGCTTTTGTGGGCACACTGCCCCACGATGGCTCATTTGCAGTTCTATAGTTTCAGTTTTGTTTTTTGTGTAGAGAGCAGTCTCGTGCATTGATAATATAATAATAATAATATGCCATTTAGCAGACGCTTTTATCCAAAGCGATTTACAGTCATGTGTGCATACATTTTTACGTATGGGTGGTCCCGGGGATTGAACCCACTACCCTGGCGTTACAAGCACCGTACTCTACCAATTGAGCTACAGAGGACCACAATATCGTTCCCATGACTTGAATGGAATTTGTGCCACAAACAGTTTCAGGGAAACTAAACCAAAGTATGGATTGCTGTCATAACTGCTTACAGGGTAAGGAAACCAAAGCATCATTTTTGTCACTTGGGTGAACTATACCTTTAAGGACTGTAGCCTATTGAAAAATGGAAGCTAATGTAGTACAAGTAGGTTAGTGATTAAATATACACTGAGTATACAAAACATTAGGAGCACCTTCCTAATATTGAGTTCACCCTCTTTTGCCCTCAGAACAGACTCAATTTGTTGGGACATGGACTCTGCAAGGTGTCAAGCGTTCCACAGGGATGCTGGCCCATGTTGACTCCAATGCTTCTCACAGTTGTGTCAAGTTGGCTGGATGTCCTTTGGGTGGTGGACCATTCTTGATACACACAGGAAACTGTTGAGCGTGGGAAAACCCAGCAGTGTTGCAGTTCTTGACACACCCAGATGTGCCTGTTGTGTCATGTAAAAATCTTCCCAGCGTGAAATAGTTCCAATCGTTCTGATTGTGTTGTCATTATGACGTCATGTTGTAACATTTCACGCGATATGAATCAGACAGTGGGGCGCCGCCTGACCCACTAGTTGGTCAGAAGGTTCAAATCAACGTTTCATATCGTGGTGTAGATGTACTGTATTGACAATGACACAATAACGAGAGACCACATTTCCAGCATGGCCGACAACCAGACCTCAGTTGCCCGCCATAGGAAGCAAAATGGTAATTCATTAATAATAAGTGAGCATTGCATTTGCAGCTCCTAAATTAATAAAATCATGTCACCTCTGAACGAGCTCCTGCAACTCGTGGCCCTGCTGGCTAGCTTGACTGACATTGCTAGCCCGCGGGCGCGTTCCAGGTTGCAGGTCGACACGGATGCGTTCAAGGTGGACTTCATTGCTTCTTAATTTATGATTATTACAACGCTTGGATAGTTAACATAACATATTAGCATAATTCGTTCAGATTATTTGATGATTTATTGGCCTTATTTGATTTTTTACAAATCCAAAATCACTATTGCAGGGCTGACCAACTCTGTTCCTGGAAAGCTACCATCCTGTAGGTTTTTGCTCCAAACCCAGTAGTAACTAACGTGATTCAATTTATCAACCAGTTAGTTAGGTGCGCTAGATAAGGGTTTGAACAAAAACCTACATTCCCATTCAAACACAGAATCCTATACTGGATTTCTACAGACTTCCAACACAATTCAACAAGACAAGATTTGGAAAATGGCCACGCAACGCTAGTGTTGAACATATCAGCTAAACACATACTGGTGGTGTTCCTGCCTGATTACGTTGAAGACATTGCATTGCATCAACCAATGGTTGTGTGCCACGTCATCGACTGTCAGGCATTACATTGCTATATCATATGATGTGGTTAGCTGATATGTTAAACACCTATCCAAGCTTGGGTGGTCCCGGGGATTGATCATTGACAGATGGCTGACCCAGATTCTACTTTATGAATTCAGACAGACTGTCACTGCTCACATGAAAGATAAAAAGGAATGATGTGACGGACTGGTCGTGGTCTCCCATCTCGTCTGTTTATAGTGTCTTTAGATTGGTCTGTTACACTAGTCGCAGCAAGACTTTTTGCCACACAGTATTGGTGGTAATTGCTTTTGGTATCGCATGATAGGCAAAAACTCCCACAAGGTTTTAGTTAGAATTTATTAGTAGACAAGTAGAACATTTTAAGGCACAGTGTGAATTGCATTGACTCTTGAATTGTAAGCGACAAAACAATATAGAACAGCAACATGAAAAAAACAGATATTATACAGCTGTGCCAGGAAACCCTCAATGTCAACAAAACAAAAGAGCTGATCGTGGACTTCAGGAGACAGCAGAGGGAGCATGCCCCCATCCACATCGACGGGGCTTCAAGTTCCTCAGGGTACACATCACTGACAATCTGAAATGGTCCACCCACACAGACAACGTGGTGAAGAAGGCGCAACAGCGCCTCTTCAACCTCAGGAGGCTGAAGAAATTCGGCTTGGCCCCTAAGAACCTCACAAACTTTTTGAGATGCACCATTGAGAGCATCCTGTCGGGCTCTATCACCGCCAGGTACGGCAACTGCACCGCCCGCAACCGCAGGCCTCTCCAGAGGGTGGTGCGGTCTGCCCAACGCATCACCGGGGGCACACGGCCTGCCCTCCAGGACACCTACAGCACCCGATGTCACAGGAAGGCCAAAAAAATCATCAAGGACATCAACCACCCGAGCCACAGCCTGTTCACCCCGCTATCATCCAGAAGGTGAGGTCAGTACAGATGCATCAAAGCTGGGACTGAGAGACTGAAAAACAGCTTCTATCTCAAGGCCATCAGACTGTTAAATAGCCATCACTAGCCGGCCTCCACCCAGTACCCTGCCCTGAACTTAGTCACTGTCACTAGCTGGCTACCACCCGGTTACTCAACCCTGCACCTTAGAGGCTGCTGCCGCATGTACATAGACATGGAATCACTGGTCACTTTAATAATGGAACACTGGTCACTTTAATCATGTTTACATACTGTTTTAGAAGAGGGCTCCGGGCAGCCGAGCGGAAATGGAGGAAAACTAGACTCCCTGCGGACCTGTCATCTTTTCACTTCCTCCTCTCTACATTCTCTTCCTCTGTTTCCGCTGCTAAAGCCACTTTCTACCACTGTAAATTTCAAGCCTCTGCCTCTAACCCTAGGAAGCTCTTTGCCACCTTCTCCCTGCTGAATCCTCCTCCTCCTCCCCCTCCCTCCTCCCTCTCTGTGGATGACTTCGTCAACCATTTTGAAAAGAAGGTTGACAACATCCGATCCTCATTTATTAAGTCAAATGACACCGCTGGTCCTGCTCACACTGCCATACCCTATGCTTTGACTTCTTTCTCCCCTCTCTCTCCAGATGAAATCTTGCGACTTGTGACGGCCGGCCGCCCAACAACCTGCCCGCTTGACCCTATCCCCTCCTCTCTTCTCCAGACCATTTCCAGAGACCTTCTCCCTTACCTCACCTCGCTCATCAACTCATTCTTGACCGCTGGCCATGTCCCTTCCGTCTTCAAGAGAGTGAGAGTTGTACCCCTCCTCAAAAAACCTACACTCGATCCCTCCAATGTCAACAACTACAGACCAGTATCCCTTCTTTCTTTTCTCTCCAAAACTCTTGAGCGTGCAGTCTCTAGCCAACTCTCCTGCTATCTCTCTCAGAATGATCTTCTTGATCCAAACCAGTCAGGTTTCAAGACTGGTCATTCAACTGAGACTGCTCTTCTCTGTGTCACGGAGGCTCTCCGCACTGCTAAAGCTAACTCTCTCTCCTCTGCTCTTATCCTTCTAGACCTATCCGCTGCCTTTGATACTGTGAACCATCAGATCCTCCTCTCCACCCTCTCCGAGTTGGGCATCTCCGGCGCTGCTCACTCTTGGATTGCGTCCTACCTGACAGGTCGCTCCTACCAGGTGACGTGGCGAGAATCTGTCTCCGCACCACATGCTCTCACCACTGGTGTCCCCCAGGGCTCAGTTCTAGGCCC